CTTTTTTGTGCATGCGGCTCTCATGATTGCAGAACCATAGATGGCAAAAATCCACTTACCTTTGAGTCAAAGTGTTTCAAGTCAAACTTTACCACAAGGGTTCAGGGGTTTTCACTCTGCGGGTGTTGGAGTTTTAAAGAGAAGCTCAAAAAGCAACATTTTTCTGAGCAAAATAGACTCTTGCTCAGCTGAGTTAGCTTTAACTGATTACTCATTTGCAGTTTTATCTGGGGTATTTCTGGTAAACCTCTGCAGTGACTGCTTGCAAGATCTTCAGTGATTTGGAAGTTTAGGAACTATCCCGTAGGTGATGCTGACTTGTGCACTCAGCATTTGAAGAAGTATCTGTTAATTCTGTGTTAGTTATTGACCGTATTCTTAAAATACATTTGATAATCAGAGACGGTGCAGAAGAGCAGTTCCAAAGGATGGAAGATGTGCCAGATAGCAGAGGATTTCTGTGGACTCCTCCAGTTATTCGAGAGAAAGCTGAGTGATGGCTAGGTCATCATCCAGAAATACCATGTCCAGTTGACCACACTCTCCCGTCTAGCACAAAGTGGTTGTGGATTGCTGCAACCAGAAATTACAACCAGGAGAGTTCACTGTTTCAATAGAGATCATACATGACTGTGCCTACTGCTTTACAAAATCTGAATACAACATCTCTTGAAATTTTTAAGTTAGATGTCCTGTAGGAAAGAAGAGCGGCTTAAAGGTTGAGTGGGTCTGTAGCCTGCACTGGGCTGGAAGCAGGACTGGTCTTGTGAAACAGGACGGGAAGGGATCTCCTGCAGTCACCCCCAGCATCCCCATGCCCCAGAGCAGACTACTTTATCTTCATACTGTGCCAGACAGTTTGTCTAAACCTCCTTAGGCAAGCTATTTGAGTGCATAGCTAGTCTTATTTTTTAGACAGCAAAACCAACCAAACCAAACTTTCTAATACAAGCTGCCTTGGCTGTCATTTAAAGTCATTACCAGTAGTCCCAAGTCCTGGTGTAAACTGGTCAGCTCCCCTCGTCACTTCAGAAGCTCTTACCGAAGTGTGAAAGTTGATGTGGTAATTCTTAATGTGGTCACCTATACACTAAACATGCCACAGGTCTTTCTGGTTTTGCACATAGGACGTATTTTTTTTGATCTCGTAATTTTTTTGCTGTTTTCCTCTCCGTTTGGTGCACACATTTCTTGAAATACGTGCCCAAAACTGGGTGCAGCCCTCCAGCTCACGTTAGCAATGCCGAGCAGAGTGGCAGGATTACCTCATGCATCTTGCACAGCCATCCTGTTTATAAAGCCCCGTGGGGTGTTAATTCTCAGTAATGGTATGACGCTGCTGGTTCATGCTCATTTTCTGATCCACAACAACCACCAGATCCTCTGGGCAGAACTGCTGCTCAGTTACCTCTCCGTCCTCTTCACTGGTCACTGAAGCGTCTGCTTGTTGCATTTGCCCTCAGTGAATTATATTTGACTTATTTTAGATTGTTTCTCTTAATTTGTAACCATGAGTGGGATTCCAGCTCTTTCCTTCAAGGCGATTGCAGCCCTTCCCAGTTCTCTTCCATCATTCAAGTCATTAATGGAAACTATTTGAACAATACTAGACTCAGAACAGACTTCTGCAGGATCTGGTTTGATACATCCTTCCATTTTGATGGGGAATCATAGGTTGCTGTCTCTGTATGGGATTTACATCCAGTTGTGCATCTGCCTGCAGTGGTTTCATACGAATGAAGTCTATATAAAGTCTATAAATCTGTGAATTGAAAGTCTGTCCTGGTTTAGGAAACAAGGTTGAAAAACAGCCTTTTTCACTCTGTAAAGATGTCCCTGTAAGTGTCTGCTCTTGGCATATAGTGATGACTCTCTGACCCATCTGATCTCAAAAAGGCCTTTTTTCCTCTCTGACAACTGAATTGTGCTGCCTCATGGTTTTTGTAAGTGAGATTTCAACCTAGATAAAATTAAACACTTTTAGTCAAAGTAGATGTTAAACTGTCTGTGCTGGTGAGTGGTAGTTTTCAGTTGTGTTTACGCAAAGTGGAAATATCCTTTTATGAGTCAAGACTAAATGAACAGGTTTTATACAAGGTTTAAAAAATACCCCAGCCTTTAGGATGTTTTTCATGAGCTGTCAAAGCGGAATGTGTGAAGAGAGCCCTTAGACACGTTGACCTCTGACATGTTGATACTATTCTCTCTCCCCTTTCCAGGTCCATCGTAATAGCCTGGTGCGATGTAGCTGTGATGTGAACCCTTCGTGTGCTCTGTGCGGCACTCGAAGCTCGACGACTGTGGAAATCCAGTACGATGCCCCTTTGCTGGAGCGCCTCTCCCAACTGGACTCATGTATTCATCCTGTCCTATCATTCCCAGATGGTAAGCACAGCACCCACGGAGCTGCCAGGGGTATCGTCAAACTGGGTCCTGAGATGGATTACAAGGGATGCATGGGCGTGCTCCGGAGCCTGCTCCTTCATCCTGGGCTTCCAGAGGAAGTGCAGATCTGCTCGAGTACGACCAAGCTCGTTCATCTGCAAGTGTTTTTAGGAGCAGAGCATTTACTGGAGCGGAAGGGTTTGGGAGAGCATTACACCTGAAGTCTGCTCTGCTATGAACGTGTTTGTTATGGGAACCTGACCTGGAGCCCCACTCGGGGTGGGGAAACAGAGCGGTGCCTGGGAGTCTGTACTGGGACCTGGGTCTTAGGCTGGTGTCTCTGTTACTATAAACCACTTGAGAAATAACTTGCTTCCGCAGAGTTTGTTCATCTCTCTCAAATTATTTGTGGATTGGTTTAAGTCACAGGAAATTTTTTTGACCTTGTAAGGAATTGTAAATGATCTTTCGTGGTTCAGAGGGTACAGTAAGAAGGGATGTTCCCGTTAAGACACTCGTTGCCTTGTGTTACAGTATCAGGGTTAATCATCGTTAAGAGGAATAACTAACCAACCCTGACTGGGGGGTATTCATGGATTTCATGTGTTAGGGACTTTTCCCAAGGGAAAAGTAGTTTCCAGAGTCTTTTGCTTCCTAAGCTGCCAAATTAAATACAAGCCTGTTCTTTGACCAAAAATTACTGGCTTGCGTGAGATTGGTGTCCATCTGTCATCTTTTTCCTCTGATCACAAAATACAGGACCACAAATGATAGGAACTGGTACTTTTATCAGGAGAACCAGGCAGTAAATAGATCATAGCGCTTCCTTTCCTTGGTAGGAGTGCCTGGCTGCTTGAGGTATAAAACACCGCTGGTAATGCTGGGAGGAAGGTGTGTGTCCTTGCCTCTCATGAGGGTATAAAGGGGTTGGGCCAGGTTAAGACACTGGGCTAATGTGTGTGTTTGGGTTTAAATTCCGGCTTTGCACAGACTGTGCAACAGTAGGAAATGCATGGAGTGTCTGGGAACAATTAATTTGGCATCTTTCACTAGCACTATATTTAAAACAGACTAAAATAGTAAATTGGTGCTATTTTTAAAAACTAAATCCCCACACCCCCCCAAAGACACATCTCTGTTAAGGAATGCTAAAGGAACTTAACGCACTGAACTCCTGAAGCAGAAATTTATTTCCTGATTTCACAGCACTTGTAATCCTCTGTCTGTAGTGTTAAATCTAATATTCTAGGAAGCGGTGAGAAAACCTGTTGTGTACTATTGCAGCGTGGTCACCAGGCAAATTACCTCATCCCATATTCACTTTCCATTTTCTTAGGCTCAGCTGCAGCCAGCTTACATGGTAAAAGATCCGTTCTGGCTGCACAAGATTAAAACCTTTGTTTTTAAAACTACATGGTGTAAAGCTTAAAACACCTATACAAAAATACCCATTCCCTTCCTCCCTCCCAAAGGCAATGACAGATTAACTTTGATTATTCACTCCTGTTTGATACAGTTTTGCTAGGGTTGCTTTTTGGCGATGGGGATAATTTTCCGTTGAAACATAAAGCCAGGTACTGTGTTCAGGTAGGGGAAGTGCTCTGCCTTGAAGTTAGTCTGCATCAAGGTGTCTGTCAGTATTAATCCAGGTTGCTGTCGGTGCTCCCACATGATTATTTTGGGGGCTCACCTTGAAAGCAAGCAGGCTGGATCGATGGGCAGAGGCTCAGTTAATGCTATCTGGAGGAGCTTGTGAGGTTGTTAGATGGAGCCTGGCCTTAGAGCTGTGAGCATGTGCTGACTTTCACTTTGAGCCTGTCTCTCCGGGGCTCCTCCGGTGCCAGCAGCCGGGGATCTCCAGTGCAGTTTGCCAAGGGCAAAATTGCCAGGCGCTGCAGGAGGAAAAAGATCATTTATTCTTCTGGCAAGTGGGGCCCGGGCATCGCGGCTTTTAACCCGTTGCACTTGCGCTTCGTAAGCGCTTTGTCCCCTTCCTTTCAGGTTTTTTTTCTGGTTCATCTGATTTCTCGCTGGGAATTTTCAGATGATGTAATAACCTTGGTGGGGAGGATGAGAGCCAGGGCGCTCAGGCTCAGTGTGGTTGCCATCTGCCGGTCCCCGGGAGGCCTGCATCGCTCAGCCGAGGAGGCGGAGGAGGAGTGACGGTGTCACTTGCTGCACAGACTCTGGTGCAACCAGTGCTGACAGCAGGACAGTGACAAGCCAGCAAATAACTCATTTTCTGCTGACAATGTTTTGTCTTGCATTTTTCCCCTCCCTCTGACCTGTCTCCTCCTTCCACAGGTGTGTGGGCTGCTAGGATGGGATGAATTTTCAGAGGAAAGCAAAAAATTAACAGAGAAGAGGCCTTTTTCCCAAAGTCAGACCACTTCAACACAGTGATGTTGCAGCCTTGCTGGCAATGTCCTTAAAGGACTGGCTTGGCCCTTCTCTGTTTTTTGGGACGTGTCTCCATAAACCAGTAGTGGTGGCCAAAGAGCTGCCGTCGCACTGTGGTAAGCCCTTCCTTAGCAAATGGATGGGGCTAGACCAGAGCTTTAACCATTAAGGTACTTTCAATGCAGCTTGAAAGTCCTGGTTTTTTCCTGAGAGTCAAGTTCCCCCTATTAATAACAGCCAACTCCAGCCCGTGCTCTGCCAGCTCTCTCCGTTCTGTTCACCTGCCCGGATCCGCTGGGGCTTTTCAGTCCCTGGAATTGGTGGGGAAATTTCAGAGGGGTTCAGATATCAGCCGTTGAGACTACTGACAGGGCTTGAATCTCTGCCACTTGCCCTCCGAGATTGTCTAGATGCAGTTTCTAAATCCCACGGCAGCTCCTAATTGCCTCCACGTCCCCTCTGCAGGCGCGGAGCGAGGAGCTTTATTCCTTGTGCAGGGCCTGGGAAGGTTCATCTCTGCTCAGGGTTGCTTCAAAGTCCTTGAGAAAATGTCACGTGAACTTGAGAGATGTGGGGGAGGGATGTTTGTACTACTGATGCTCATCTTAGTGCTTTTAACTCCTAGTTGTGGCAGCGTGAGCTTGCATCGGGCTGCATGTCCTGCTGGCGATGGTCTGCTGATCTGTACTGGGGGAGGAGAGCAGATGGGTGGCATGTCAAACCAGAAATGCTGGTGTATAATGATCTTAGGGGTGTAGCTGGAGAAGATAAATTCATGTCTCAGTAGTTTTCCTGTTAACCCTAAAGGTTTTAATGCTTTTCCGAACTAGGATTTTGGCCCTCAGGCATATAAAAGAGAGCTGGGTCTTGGAGGAAACTTAAGCAGCAGTATTTGGTGATCAAACCTGAAGTTTGAAGCTATGGGTATGAAAGGAAGGCTTATTTGTGGGACTCCTGAGGCTGGAGTAGTTTGCTAGTCCAGTTAATGTTTGGGGTGGTTCGTTTTTTTTTTTATAGTCTACCCTATAGCTTAGCCTATCTGCACAAGAAATACACTGAATAATCTCACTAGCGTTCTGTCTTTCAGCTAAGGTCAGGAGTGTACCTGTATGGGATTTGGGAGAAACAAAGCTTGAGGGCAAAAGTAGTGTCTGCCGAATTTCACAGCAGTACAGCATGTATGTGCTTGTTGTGAGATGGCAGGATTAAATAGGAACAGGTACTCTGGATTACCATGATCTGTGGTATGCACAGAAACTTCAGGCTCAAAATGCATCAGTGCCGTGGTTTAACCCCAGCCGGCAACTCAGCCCCACCCAGCCGCTCGCTCACTCCCCCCTC